GTTCTTTTTTTGTAATATTTTTATTTATTTATTCTCAGAGAGGGAAGGGAGGGAGAAAGAGAGAGAGAGAGAGAAACATCAATGTGCGGTTGCTGGGGGCCATGGCCTGCAACCCGGGCATGTGACCTCACTGGGAATCGAACTTGCGATGCTTTGGTTCGCAGCCTGCGCTCAATCCACTGAGCTACGCCAGCCAGGGCAGAAAGAGGTGTTCTTTAATCACTTGGGCCCTGGCCGAGTGGCTTGGTTGGTTGGAGCGTCATCCTGTACACCAAAAGGGTGTGGGTTCGGTGCCTGGTCAGGGCACATACCTAGGTTGTGAGTTTGATCTCTGGTCGAAGTGCACGCAGGAGGCAACCGACCCATGATTCTCTCTCACGTGGATATTTCTCTCCCTAAAATCCATAAACAGATCCTCGGGTGAGGATTCAAGAAAACTCATTTGGCCCCATTCAATCCGCTTCAGAATCTCAAGAAAAACAGCTTCGTGGGAAATTGGTGGGATTTTGGCGGTCTCGCCAGCATTTGCCCCTCTGTGATGCAGAACAGAGGAGTGAGACCGAGGGGTTCGGTGGTCTTTGCCGTCCCAGCTCGTGGAAGCACGGTCCTAACTCACCTTCTTCAGGGTGGATTCTCGGGGCCCACAGTCCCCCTCGACGGCCAGGCTGCCCCGTAGTGCAGCTAAAACGGTCTGAGCCCCCACAGCAGACCTGAGTTTCCAGCCACCCTGTTCTCCCCGGAAGGACAACACGCACGGAGTGTAAGCATTTCACTTCACATTCGTTCAGGGCCTTCAGCGAGTCAGGCGTGCTCAGCAGCGAACCACCACTAGCTTGTCTCGTGCCCTCAGACGGGTTGGAAAAGGCAAACGAGTTGCTTAAGGGGACGCGAGCACCTTGATTTTACTGTCTACGTCAGGATGTTTTCCGCTGCAAGTAGCAGGAAGTTCAACTCCAAGTGCTTTAGACAATAAGGACATTTATACCAGAAGGAGAGACAGAGGGCAGGCAGGACCCAGGGCCCGTGGGGGCGGTGACTCAACGGCGTCATGTTCCTCACGAGGACCCCGGTTCCTCTCATCCCCTTATTCTGCAGGTCACAGCGTCCTACCTCTGGGGCCCCCTGAGTTGTAGGACGGTCACCGGTGGCAAGTCTTCCTTGTTTGCGTTCAGAAGCGGAGAAAGGCTCAGTTAGACTCAAGCATCTTTCTCAGCAGCCCCATCAAATTTCTCATATACGTTGTCTGATTGGAATTCCTTTGAGCCTGCTTGTCCCTAACAGCAATCAGTGGCAAAGGAGATAGGGTTCCTGTGACTGCCTGAGCCTCCAACGACCAGCCCTCACCCCCGGGACTGGGCCAGGCTCCTGCATGGCATGCTTCCCGGTGCTGGGCAGGGCAGGCACAGATGGCGTGGGGGTCACCACCATGTCCACACATTTCTTTGCTGGACCAGCATCAGGCTCCATCGAGTGACAGACGAGGGGTTCCCCCCAAGACCCCCTCGTCAGTTCTCACCTGTTACCGTCTAGAAGGAGCAGTGTCTATACCCGGTGTGGGACCTCATGCCTAATAGGTTATGGTTTGCTTTGCCAATATCAAATGGAAGGAGAGACAGGACTTGAATTGGGCCAAAGTTCTCCCTTCTTTTCTTTTTCTTAAAAATAAATCAAAATATTTATTTATTTTCAGAGAGAGGTGAAGGAAGGGGGAGAGGGAGAGAAACCTCAGTCGGTCGCCCCTTGCATGCCCCCAACTGGAGACCTGGCTGGCAACCCAGGCATGTGCCCTGACAGGGAATTGAACCTGTGACCTTTCAGTTTGCAGGCCGGCGCTCCATCCACTGAGCCACACCAGCCAGGGTCTCCCTTCTTTTCTTTTCAGAGAAAAGTTTGTCCTTGTCTAGAAGAAAGATCTTAGAATTGTAAAGGAGAAAAATGGCTCCTCATCCCACGGGCAAGTCCAGTTTATGCTGCTTGAACTGAAATTCAGCCCTCTCCTGACAGGATGGCCTCTGCCCAGGCTGGCACAAATGCTAAAATTGTTCATAGTTATTTCCATTATACCAGCCAGCACACACACTAAAGTCATTATCAGTTATTTCTGTGACTTCCACTTTCAGGCCAAGGTCTAGAACAATAAGATTTTAAGGGTAGGAAGTAAGTGTGATTTCTCTATTTCCTGTTCGCCTGGGATTTAAACAGGCTTCATGCTCCAGAAATCTGGTCAGAGTTCATAGTTCTGTGCCCATGAAGTGGCAAGCGATAGCCAAGTCCAGGCTTTGAAAACAGCCTCTCAGAGGTCACCGAAGGAGTCGATGTCTTCTAGTTACGAGAATCAACATTCTCATTCCGAGCAAGGCAAGGCAACGCAGTGCAAGGCAAGCCTCTGTTTCCTCAACAAAAATGGCATATCTGGAGCCCGGGCTGGCGTAGCTCAGTGGATTGAGCCCGGGCTGTGAACCAAAGTGTCGCAGGTTTGATTCCCAGTCAGGGCACATGCCTGGATTGCAGGCCATGACCCCCAGCAACCTCACATTGGTGTTTCTCTCTCTCTCTCTTTCTCCCTCCCTTCCCTCTCTAAAGATAAATAAATTTAAAAAATCTTTTTAAAAAAGATTTTAAAAAAAGGGGAGAAGAAAAAAAAAACAAAGAAATGCCCTGTGTTTAGAATTTTTGATAGGTTCACCGCCAGGTTGATAAAAATGGATCAATGGCAAGCAACTCATTCAGGTTTTCCTGGAACTTTTGCAGTTTCAGCGGCGGAAGTTCCTGCGCACTCCTTCCGCCTCAGGGAGACCAGGGTGGTGGTCGCCCTGGTGCCCTCCACCATGCAGCTCCTCCCGCCTCCATGAGGGGGAAGTGAGCATTTGGAGAGAGGCCAGGGTATTCAGGGAACGCTCCTCTCTGTGGAGAGCATTACTAGAAAAGATTGTGCCTCTAATAATAGCTTTGCAACTGGTTGCCAAAGGAGCCAATTGTGCAAAAACCAGGAGAAAAGCATCCCAGGAGGAGGGAGCACCACGTACAGACCCTGAAAAAGGACAGGGTTTGACCTCTGCACAGAACCACGGCCATGACAAAACTGGAGTGAGTGGAGGTCCTGAGTCAGAATGCAGCACTGCTGTCGGTGGAGAATCCAGAAGCCAAATCAGGAATGGCTTTCTGAACCATGGCAGAGTGCGAATTCCCATTTAAGAAAAATGGGCCCCAGCTGGGGTGGCTCAGTTGGTTGGGCATCATCTCACCAACTGGAAGGTCACTGGTTTGATGCCCAGTTGCGGCACGCGCCTGGATTGTGGGTTCGGTCCCCAGCCAGGCACATAGGAAAGGTAGCCAATCAATGTTTCTCTCCCTCTCTTTCTTCCTCTCTTCCCCTCTTTCTCTCAAAAAAAAAAAAACCCACCAAAAATAAAAATCATGCCTTGACTCATGTGGCTCAGTTGGCTGGGCGTTGTCCTGCAAAGCAAAAGGTCACCTGTTGATTACCTGTCAGGGACATACCTGGATTGCCAGCTTGGTGCCCAGCCGGGGCGCTTATGAAAGACAATTGATGTTTTTTTCTTGCATCGGTGTTTCTCTCCTCGTCTCCCTCCCTTCCCCCTCTAAAGATAAATATATAAAATCTTAAAAGAAAAAAGAAAAAAAATGGGACGACACTGAAGAGTTTCAAGCAGGGACGTGATGAGATCTGAACTGCATTGCTCGGAGGCTGCCCTGGCTGCAGTGTGGAGAACGGTTTGGCGAGGTCAGCGCCGAAGCAGCAAGTCCAGGGAGGGGGCGAGAGGTGATGGGCGAGGCTCGGGTGGGGGTGGTGGAACCAACGAGGCTCGGTGCTGGGTCGGAAACAGGTGAGCAGAGAAGGGGAGCAATCCAGCCCACCCGCCGTGGGTTTTGGCTTCAGCAACCAGGCGACCAGTGGTGCAGCCGACGGCGGTGAGGGAAGGTGGAGAATACTTTCGTTTCCTGCTTTCTGTCTTGGATGTGTTCAGTTTGGGGCGCCTTTAAGACACCCGCGTGGAGACGTCAGGTCGGCAGTGAGAGCCCGCACACGAGTTCAGGAGTCAGGCCACCTGGGTTTGAATCCAGACTCGTCCGCCAACTGTATCACCTTCAGCAAGTTACTTAGCCTTCCCCTTTGTCCGTGTTTGTCTCAGTCAAATGGAGATAATAAAGCAACTGTCGAAGAAGTAGGATTTTGTGCCGAGTGATCATACGCACAGTACTCACTGGATACATGTTGGCTGTTAATATATTTGAGTCTAGAGCTCATGAGAGGGGTAAGAAATGAATACGTACATCTCGGAGGTGGCCCATACATTGACAAACAGCATTTGTGGCGAATGTTTCAAGTTAGCCCACGTTCCCAACCTCCTTCTCTTTCGCCTTTCTCTGCTGTCCAGGCTAAACCTAGACACTCGAGTCCCCAGGCTCCCTTGCAGTTGGAAGTGGCACAGGACACAGCTTTGGCTCATGAGTGTAAAGAAAAATCTGAAATGACGATGGCGGGTGGGCTCCCACCTTGAATGAGGATGCCGGGGCTGCAGACCCAGCGGCCAGCTCCTGACAGTGAGGTAAGGCCGCAGAATCACAGAGACGCCACTTCCGTGTGGTGGCGTTGCCAAATCATGACCCGCAACCACTTAGCCCAGGACTGCTTGACAGACAAGGAAAAACAACCCTGTATTTACTGAGATCGCCGGAGCTGGGTTTGCTAATACATTGTTTGCAGCGGACACAGCAGTGAATGCCGTGAGTTTGAAGGCGACCCCTTGGTCCTTAGCGTGCAGGTGGAGAAAAAAAGTCTGGCCCCCAACACAGCCCGGGCACGCACACGTTTGCAGCCAGAGGAGCAGGCAACCCCCAGGAAAGAGAGCAGCAGCTTCCCAGGGCCGTAGCGAAGGAATCCAGGAGGGAATGGGCTCCCCCCCCACCCCCCGCCCCAGTGTCCGGTGCGCCCCCATGCTCCACCCCTCGCGGGCCCGCCCGGGGCCCGCCTCCCGGGCCGGGCACTTAGGGCCGAGCGAGCGCTCTGCCCGCGCGCCCTCCTTGTCGCCGCAGCCCCGCCATGCCCGCCGACCTCAGCGGCACCTGGAACCTCCTCACCAGCGACAACTTCGAGGGCTACATGCTGGCCCTAGGTAGGCGGAGGGGGCCAAGGCTTGTCAGTCCGTTTCTCCGGGCGGCCAGGCCCCTGTCTCTCCTTTCCGCGATGGTTTGGTTTGTCCCCCCGCGCGTCGGCCGTTTGCCGGCCCCGCAGTCTGTCCTGCGCCCCCCTTCCACCTGCCCGTCCACTCATTCCCCGGTTGCCCCGTCCCCCTGTCCTGCTGTCTCTCCTGTCCCCTAGTCCCCCGTCTACTCGTTGGGTGGTGACCCCAGTCTGTCCGCCCGTCCGCGCGTCCATCCGTCTGTTCCCCATCCTTGCATCTCCGCCACGCCCCCCCCCCGCCCCCGTCTGCTCGCGGGTCCCATCGTCCCCCTGACCTCACTTCGCCCCCCACCCCGCCCTCCTCTTGTCCCCTCGGCCGTCCCTCCACCGGCCCGGCGGCCAGCACTCCTGCCCCAGAGTGGATTCTAACCAGGCGGAGGGGCAGGGGACCGGGGTGCCTCGCGGGAGGACTCAGAGACACGACGGGGGGGGGGGGGGGCTTCGGCCACGTGCGGGGGCGACCCGGCCGAAGCTCCTCCGCGGGTGGATGTGGCCCCGCAGCCCCCTTTAACGCGGGGCTCTGGGCAGCCGGCCCCCGGATCCCTTGAGCCCAGGGGCGCCCCCAGGGAGCTCGCGGCCCGCAGCTCCAGCGTCCCGGGCGCGTCTCCAGGAGCTTCCAGCCCAGCCCCGCGCTCGAGCGCCCGGCCCCGCTCCGCCCCGCCCCGAGGTGATTCCGGAGCCGCTGGATTCCCACTCGGGTTTGAAATCTTTCGTTTTCTGACTTCCACGTTTTCCCTCGAGGACTTCAGGGGTGTCCAGCAGCCCTTAGAGGCCGCTCCCCGCTCCTCGAAGTTCTAGCCCGGAGGGGGGTTGGTCGGTGCCTGGAAGGGCCGCTTCTGTCTCTGCGGGCGCGGGGACCACTGAGTGGGGCTGGAGCTGTGTGGGGGGGCGGGGGGCCTGGCTGGGGCCTGACCAAGGTCCTTGCTTCCCAGGTGGGGAGGGGACTGGAGAATGTCTTCCGCCCTGGCAGCAGAAGCCGTCCTTCCTTACAGATCCCCGGCTTGTCCTGCCCTGAGCCTCATCCTCCAGACTTGGTGGGCCTGAGCACCTCCTTTGTGCCACGTGCTTTTCACTAAACCACGCCAGGCGGTGGCACTTCTGACAGATGAGCCAGAGCTGCGCGGGGTCTGGGGGCCTGGGGACGACTCTAACTCCGCCTCTTCGGATCTGACGCGGGGCCTCGGTTTCCCCATCTGTTAAGTGAAGATGGGAGCGCAATTTTTTACTGTGGTAAAATATGTGTAGCACAAAATTGGTCATTTTAACCATGTTGAAGTGTACAGTTCTGTGGTCTGGGTGCGTTTTTAAGATCTCTGAGCCTGTGGTAGGATTCCCCTCCCCACCTCCCTTTCTCACACTGAGTAGGGAAGTCTGGAACTTCCCAGGCGAGACCTGATTTATATGGACACAAAACCCTGTAGGGAAGAAAAGAAACTTTCCCTCCACGCATCTGTTTCTTTGGCCAGGGCCCTGTAAATTGGACCAGCCAAGGACAGATGGACAAGAGACAGACAAACAGAAGGTTAACACGCACTTCCTGCACACCCTCGGGAGTACTCAGCGATGAGTACCGCAAAGGAGTACTCAGAACGTGCGCTTACATAGCAGTTAGCAAAGAGTAATGATTTTTAAAATTTATTTTTAAAGAGGGAAGGGAGGGAGAAAGAGAGAGAGAGAAACATCAATGTGCAGTTGCTGGGGGCCGTGGCCTGCAACCCAGGCATGTACCCTGACTGGGAATCGAACCTGCGACACTTTGGTTCACACACAGCCCGCGCTCAATCCACTGAGCTATGCCAGCCAGGGCAAGAGTAATGATTTTAAAGAGAAGCGACAAGACAAAAAGACTTTCCATTTCCAGGGTGAGAAATAATAGGAAAGTAAATATATGGGAAAACTAACTCTATGGGACAATAAGGGCTAGATTATCTAGGTTCTTCCGGTGCCCTTTCCGGGCTGACGAGAGTCTGGAATCGGCTCCTCACTTCTGTCCATCCCGGTACAGATGGGGGAGGGGGAGTGTGGTCCGGGTACAGACAAGAGAGAGACTATCCCCTGACGTGGCCAGTGTCTGCCCCGCAGGCTGGACCAGGCTGGAAAGAGGCCACTTTCCAAAGCCCCCTTAGAGACCGTCTGGGGGTGACCAATGCTTATCCTGACATAAACCAGCGCCCCGCCCATGCCCCCTGCTGGGCGCTGGGTCTTGACCCTGTCAGGCACATGATGTGATTTCCCAAGTGTGGCAGCATTTAGGTGCTGGTCCTTGTGACTGTCCCCACCTTTACCCTGCATGATATTTCGGCCCTTGCCAAGATTTCGTCTTGTAGCTGCCTAAGACATGCTTTGAATGTAAGTTCCCCGTAATGAACTCTACCAATTAGCAGACTGAAGTGGCCAGCCTCTTTTTCCCAGCTCTCCTGCCCTGGGCGTACGGAGGTAGACTCACTATGTCAAGGTGACATGATTTAAGGTACGGTGCCCTGAGCCCTTCCAGGGGCGTCGTTTTTGTTTGGGATAATGAAAAAACTCTGGAAATGAATAATGTTGGTGGTTGGATAACATCATGACCGTACAAAACCCCTGAATTGTATGCTTAAAAAAATGGGTGAAATGGTAACATTTGTGTATTTTACCACAATAAAAAAATTACCAAATGAAAGGATTACAAGGAGACTTTGGTAGAAAATGTACAATGAATCCTATTTTTATTTTAAAAAAGGAAGGCTCCTTTTAAATTCAGTGGTTTGAATTAAGCCCATTTTGTGAGTTAGCATTCTCTCCTATCTGAGCCATGTCTTATGACTTTACACAGTGAACTAAAACGTGTTTTTTCTAAACACACGGGTTTATGTTTCAAGGGAATAAAGATAGGTCCTGTAATAAAAACCAGAACATCCTTATCTTGTTCATTGGGTGGAAGGAAGATACAACCAGGCGATCCGTCCCTTTTAGCCGAAAACAGAGCTTGAAGTCTTTGGCCCAGTTAAATATTTGAGTTAACCAAGTGCTTAGTGAATTATTCAATGTCTTACATTCAGATTCTTTTTAAAATCAGCGCATGGCGTATGGAGGGATTTATGGCACAGAACTCAAATGATCAAAATATCCTTAGGTTCAAGAAGACTGTTTTCAATTTTCCTATGATGGGAGCCAGTTCTCTTCTACTTTTTATTTTAATTGTTGTTTAATTACAGTTGTCCCCCTTTCCCCCCATTACCCTCCCCTGCCCTACCCACCCGCTACCTCCTACTTTCAATCCTCACCGCCCCCCCCATTGTCCTTGTCCATGGGTCTTTATACATGATCCTGGACTTGACCCTTCCTCTTCTTTCCCCCATCACCCCGCTCCTGCCTCCCCTCTGGTCAGTGTCAGTTTGTTCTTTATTTCCACGTCTCTGGTTCTATTTTGCTCGCTCTTTTGTTTTGTTGATTAGGTTCCACTTACAGGTGAGATCACATGGTATTTGTCTTTCACCACCCGGCTTATTTCACTTAGCATAATGCTCTCCAGTTCCACCCATGCTGTCATGAAAGGTAGGAGCTCTTTCTTTCTTGGCCGCTGCGTAGTATTCCATTGTATAAATGTACCACAGTCTTTTGATCCACTCATTTACGATTCTCTCTTTAAAGGGAGATTTAGCCCTGGCTGGTGTAGCTCAGTGGATTGAGTGCAGGCCTGAAAACCACAGGGTCACTGGTTCGATTCCCACTCAAGGCACATGCCTGGGTTGCAGGCCAGGTCCCCGGTGGGGGGGCCACATAAGAGACAACCACACATTGATGTTTCTCTTCCTCTCTTTCTCCTTCCCTTCCCCTATCTCTAAAAATAAATTAATAAAATCCTTATAAAAGGGGAGATATAGATTCCTCTGTCTCGGTGCTAAAGGACCAGGAGAGAGCATTGACAACCTCTAGCCACATAATGTGCTCATAGCTCATAAATGAGCGTTGGGACTCAAATCCACTTCCTACACTAAAAGCCTGGTCTTCTCAGTATTCCACGGTTTTGTGTGGGAGTCTTTTTTAAAGCTTATTCAAGATTCCTAAACGATTGCAGCAGTTTTGGAGTGTTTTCCCCCCAATGGTTGTTCAGAAACTGTTCACATTCTGTCTTTGTCTGAAAGGTAAATACATAAAGCAGGAAAAGGCAGAGTTGCTGTCATGGAGGCTGGGTCAGGGGCCCGAGCCACGTCCCCCTGGCTCTCCTGGCCCCTTGTCAGCCTCTGGCGGGGATTCTGAGAATGGCTCCTGCCGCACCTGGCCTCAAATCCGTCCCCTGTGGCACACAGCTGCCTAATGAGTCTCCTCTGAGAGCTGTTGAACCTTCTTAAAAAATATATATACATATAGATTTTATTTGTTTTTAGAGAGAGTGGAAGGGAGGAGAAAGAGAGGGGGAGAAATATTGGCCCTCAACCCAGACATGTGCCCCGACAGGGAATTGAACCTGTGACCTTTCAGTTTGCAGGCCAGTGCTCCATCCACAGAGCCACACCAGCCAGGGCAGCTGTTGGACCTTTTTAATCAGCCTCTGGATGGAGGTGTTGGCCAAGATATCTTTCCCTATAGATCCTATTACGGTGACAAATGATACTGACAATGTGAAAGAAATACTAGCAATCAAATGCAATGCTTTTTTAAAAAAATTTTATTTATTTTTAGAGAGGAAAGGGAAGGAAAAAGAGAGAGAGAGAGAGACAGAGACAGAGACATCAATGTGCAGTTGCTGGGAGCTGTGGCCTGCAACCCAGACATGTGCCCTGACTGGGAATTGAACCTGCAATGCCTGGTTTGCAGCCCGCACTCAATCCACTGAGCTGCGCCAGCCAGGGCTTTTTTTTTTTTTTTTTTTTAAGATTTTTATGTTATGTTATTTTATTTTATTTTATTTTATTTATTTTTAGAGAGAGAGAAAGGGAAGGAGAAAGAAAGGGAGAGAAACATCATGTAAGAGATACATCAATTGGTTGCCTCGTGCATGTCCCCAACTGGGGTCTTGGCCTGCAGCCCAGGCATGTACCCTGACTGGGAATCGAACCGGTGACCTTTTGGTTTGCAGGCCGGTGCTCAGTCCACTGAGCCATGCCAGCCCAAATGCAATGCTTTTGAGAATAGTTGCCACGTTCTTTGCTTTTGCATCTCAGATGAAAGTTGAGATTTCTTTTTATTATTATTATTCTTTTTTAAGGTATTGACTTTGCCACTCGTAAGATAGCCAAGATGCTGAAGCCACAGAAAGTGATTGAGCAAAACGGGGATTCTTTCACCATCCACACGTACAGCAGCCTAAGGAACTACCTTGTTCAATTTAAAGTTGGAGAAGAATTTGATGAAGATAACAAAGGCCTGGATAACAGAAAATGCAAGGTAAAAGTTTCAGTAATAACGTGAGCTCTTCATCGGGCAAGTTAATTGGGTGTCTACTTAGTAGGGTCCTTCCGGAACCAGCTAAGGTTTCTCCCTTCCATCGTGCAGAGCTTGGTCACCTGGGACAATGACAGACTCACCTGTGTCCAGAAGGGGGAGAAGAAGAACAGAGGCTGGACCCACTGGATTGAAGGCGACAAGCTCCACCTGGTACTTGCCACATTGTTCTTATCTTTAGCGAGGTGACATAATATTGAAGGACATGTTAAGCAGGAAGCCAAGGCCAGCAATTCGATTATTCCAACCCCTTCTACTTGGTGTGTTATCTTCCAGTCTCCGTCAGAATATTCTGCCTTTTCATGCCATATGAAAACACATGCCAGGTTTCTAGATAATTTTCCTGTTCAAGTTATTATATATTACTTGAATATATATAATAAGGTAGCAAACTGGCCGCATGGTATCCCATCGAACTCTTATTTTGGTAAAACATTTTCCCAGAGTATCCCATGGAACTCTTATTTTGGTACAACATTTTCTTACAGGTGTCCAGGGATATCGTATTTCAGGGTGTTTTCTGCTGTTGCTTAAATTCGTGCGCACAGAGTTTTTCCCTCCACGGTCTTACTCCCTTGGGAAGAATTCCCAGAGGGGGTCACTGTGGCCCGAGGCCACGCATCATTGCCTCGTGCTACTTTGTTGCTTTACTCACTTCCGAAAGGGGGTACCAAAGTCCCATGCCCCCACGAGCTCTTCATGAGCATGCAAATTACAGCTCCACCAAATGCGATATTTCTAAATACAATCTTGAAGGTAGAATACTGTACCTCAAGGCTTCGTGGTAGCTTTTGACGTGAGAATTCCTTCCTGCCGTGTGTGTTACGGTGCTCACATTTTTCCAGGGATGATTCTGTGCCCAGGTACTGGGGTAGGTCCTCTGAGCGCATCCTCTCACAGAGTGGTCAAGGCAGTCCCGTGAAAGGGACACTGTTTTCCTGCTTCCAGATCAAGAGACTGAGGCGTAGGAGCTCCCCGAGGCCGCACAGGGGAGCCTCACATCTGGGTCTGACCAGAATGTGTGCTTCCACTCCGCGCCTTGCTCGCCTTAGCACATGCGCGGCATCTGGGTGACGCCCGCGCCAACGAAATCAGAGCGCAGGTCTCAAAGGTGGCAGCGGCCTTTGAGGGTCTGGGGAGGCTTTGACTGCCAAGGCGCTGAAGACATTCCGATTCTGGATCAACGAAGCTCACAACCTTTGGACAATAAGAACAAAGTAGGAAGCTCGCCTTCACAAAAACGTAGTATGGCGTCACAAAGGAAACACCAATGTGACCGAGAATTCAGGTTAGTCGGCTGTGAGGAGCCGTGCTCAGATCGCAGGCTTCCTCCTTGGGCGTTCCCAGGGGCTCTGCGCAAGCAGACCCTCGCTCTGGGGGTACTCACAGGACAAGTCTTACATTTTCTGATATAATATAAAGAAATAAATATTTGGCCTTTGTACCCAGTTCCTAAAACCCTTGAAATCTCCAGGGCAACACGAGTGTCTTCTGTATGCTAATGAGATGACCGGTGAATGGGGACCCCCTAGAAGGGGGGGCCCCGATCACCAGAACGATCAAGGCATGATAGTAGGGTACGAACTTTCAGTCTGGCCCCCGACCTCCAGGAGGAGGAGAGAGGCTGGAGATTGAGTTATTCACCAATAGCTAATGATGATTCAGTCAATCAATTGTGCCTATGTAGTGAAACCCCCATAAAACCCCCTGAATGAAGGGGTTCAGAGAGCTTCCGGGCGGGTGGAAACATGGAGGTGCTGGGAAGGTGGAACTCCTGGAGAGGTCATGGGCACTCCACACACCGCCCCCACCCCCGGCCCCCCGCCCGGAACCTTCTGCATGCATCCGCTGCTCCGCTGGGCTGCCCCTGCGGTGTGGCCTTTATAAAACACCTGTGCCCGTGTTCCAAGCGTGCTCCTGAGTTCTGTGAGCCATTCTGGCAAATGGTTGAACGTGAAGCCATGGGAACCCCAACTTATCACTGGCTGGTCAGAGGTGGAGGGGGCCTGGGACTCACCACTGTCGTCTGGAGTCGGGGCAGGGAGGCCCTCACCCGCGGGCTCTGCGTTCACTCTGGGTTGTGAGTGTCAGAACCGCGTTGCCGTACTGGACACCAGTTGCTGTCAGGGTTGGAGAAGGGCGTTGGGAAGGACAGCACATGTCTGGCGTCAGGAAGAAAAAAACCCCCACATATTTGGTGTCTGAGGGTTGCGAACACTAATAGACCCCACGCCGAGTCATCTTCTCCCCGCTCCCCCGGCCCCTAGGAGATGTTCTGCGAAGGCCAAGTGTGCAAGCAGACGTTCCAGAGGGCCTGACCCGCCTCAGCCCAGAGCCGCGCGGGCTGCAGCTCGGCGCCGCAGGCGTGTTCCAGAACGAGCAGGTGTTCATCCGTCCTGACCTGCTGATGGGCCCTGTGGCCAGAGGGCGGCCCCACGGCCTGGGCCAGAAGCCATCTGCATTGCGGGAAAACTGCTCCGCTTCAATAAACCTGTCCAACGCCTCTGACTTTCTCCTCTCCTTGTTAGCATAGTCCACGATTTTAAGGAATAGCTGGTGTACGGCGGACACACCGGTGAATAAGATGCAGCTCCTGCCTTTAAGGTCTGGCGAGGCCATGGATGAAATGAGCCTTCTGAACAGTGGAGTTAAGGAGAGGCAGCTGTGGGAGGGGCGAGCTTGACCTTGGGGCGTGGGCAGGCAGTGGCAGGGGCCTGGGGTGGCAGAGGTGGTCTTCAGCTCAGACCCGAAGCAGAGGTGAGCAGGAAGCATCGGGGAGCGGTCTAGGTGAAAGGCTGGGGTAAGTCGGAGGGGGCGTGAAGAACTGAAGAGATTGCTGTAGCTGGATCCCGGGTGTACATGGGTGGGTGGATGGGTGGGTGGGGAAAGGTGACAGAGGAGAATGGAATGACAGGCAGGGCACGACCATGAAGCTTGAATGCCAGGGTTAAGAGGTAAGATTTTTGTCCCCAAAGTAATGGGAAGATGGCGACTGGTATTCAGCAGAGGCTCTCGCCCCCAGACAGGAACTGCAGCTGCAGCGGGCAGAGAGGGTCATAGGTGGGGGAGGCTGTTAGAACTCCTTGCTGGGGTCGCAGTGCGAACTCACGCCGGTCAGGAACCCTGGGAGCCCAGGTCTCCCACAGAGGGAGCAGGCTCTTGGGGATGGAGAGAAACAACCAATTATTTTTTAAAAAATTTTATTTACTTCCTGGCTGGCGTAGCTCAGTGGATTGAGTGCGAGCTGTGAACCAAAGCATCGCAGGTTCGATTCCCAGTCAGGGCACATGTCTGGGTTGCAGGCTTCGGCCCCCAGCAACCGCACATTGATGTTTCTCTCTCTCTCTCTCTCTTTCTCCCTCCCTTCCCTCTCTAAAAGTAAATAAAATAAAATCTTTTTAAAAATGTATTTACTTATTTTTAGAGAGAGGGGAAGTGAGGTAGAGAGAGAGAGAAACATTGACATGTAGAGAAACATAGATTTGCTGCCTCTCACACGCCTCCAACCGAGGACCCAGCCCACAACCCAGGCATGTACCCTGACCAGGAACCGAACCCGTGACCATTCAGTTTGTGAGACAACACCCAAGCCCCTGAGCCACACCAGTCAGGGCACCAATTATTTAGGAGGCAGAATTCATGATCCAGAGTGATCATGAGATGTAGGGATGATGGAAAGGGGAGGAGTCAGGGGAGATGCCCTGTTTGGGGTGCAGGAAGCGGCAGGAAGGTTGGAGCCAATCAGAAAGAAGGGAACACAGGCAGAAGAGGGAAGCGGAGCTGAAGCGTTAGATTTTGAGTGTCTGTGCCCAGTGAGAGCCGGGCTGTCAGGATGGAGGGGTCCGCAGGCACATACAAGTTGTCAAGTGTCTAAACTATGCGTGTGAACGAGACCGTCCAGGACACTGTGTTTAAAACGAAAACAGAGAAACCTTTCTTTAGAAAACCTGCAGAGAAAGGGTGGTCAGAAGGGCTGGAGAAGCAGGACAGCATCAGGGGAGCCACGAAAGAAGTGTTTCAGGGTTGAGGGAGAGTTCGGCACCGGCTGCGATGCCCAGGTACCAAGAAGGCACGGTGTGATTCCTTGAAGCTCCGAGGCCAGAGCTACAAGAAGAAGGAGAGGGAGAGAGAAGCAGCAGCCGGATGTTGGTGGTGCCCTTCTAAGCCGGTTAAGAAAGTCTCAGGAAGTTGCGACACTTAGGCAGGGACTTAAGGCAAAGAAACAAGCTTTGCGGGCAGGTGGGGGCAGAGAATGAGGGCCAAAGCCTGGAGGTTGCGGGTGTGAGATGTGCTGGAGGTGCAGGCAGGAGGCAGAGGGAGCAAGGTCAAGAGTGAGAGGAGATGAGGCTGGTCTTCGGCAGAGCCAGCGGGTTTTGAGCAAACTTTTCTGCTCGACAGCTGCTTTGTAGCCCCTGGAAGTACCAATCAGTTTAGGTATAGAAGCAGTTGATTTTTTTCCCCTTTAAGGTGCCAAGTTATGGCTCAGGTCACAGTAAGAAAGTGTCTCTTAGCAAAGCTGTCTTCCCTCCCATCCCCCCGCCCCCCCAACTTTTGCAGACTGACCAGCTCTGGTCTGGCTGTCTCTCATCCATCCTTCTCTTGCAGGACTTGACTGGAAGTAGCAACAAGTGACCAGTAATAGATCTCTGCCTATTTTGTGCAAACTATAGTTCAGATTAAACAAATAGTTAAGGAAGGGAAGTTCTCATTAATAGAAGAATGCCAACTAATAGATATGAAAAAGATAAATAGATTTAAAAGGTCAACACTTTTCAATTCTTTAAAAAAATTTTATTTTATGTGATTTTCCTAGAGAGGAGGGGAAGGAGGGAGAAAGAGAGGGAGAAATACATCGTTGTGAGGGATACACATTGATAGGTTGCCTTTCGTACGCGCCCTGACCTGGGACCAAACCCGCGACCCAGGCATGCACCCACTGGGAATTGAAATGGGGACCTTTTGGTTTGTGGGACGACACCCAACCCACTGAGCCTCACTGGCCAAGGCAACATTTTACAATTCTTAATGAAAGTGTGCCCTTGGGCAATGATCATCAGTGACTGCTAAAAGCCTTCGACAAAGAGTTCATTGGTTCTGTAAAATGAATGGGTCAGGCCGACACCACCCACAGGAACCCAGCGATCGGTCTTGTCGCTCAAGGTGGGGACAGGCACTGTGTGTGATACAATGAGAGGTACCACAGTAGCACCTGTTTGTCCTTTTCAAACAAGAAAAGACACAGGTTCCAAATCAGCCGGCAAATCTAACTACTGGTTTACAGGGCACACGGGGAGATAGGAAGGCGTGCTACCTGACACCACCAGTCAATGCTAGAACGTGAGATTCAATTCTAGAAGGTGAATGAGCGGTGACTTCTCCCACTGACACAGCGTCATCAAGTCGGGGAAGGAGGATTGCTCTCTGTAAAAAGGGGCAAAGGAGCAGGAGTCAGGCCAATCACATGCAAGGCATAGACTTTGTTTATATCGGTATCATGACTCAAACCATAAAAATATGTCTTTCAGATAATTAGGAACATTTGAATATGGAGTGGATAAAAAAGATTCCATTTTCTCCATGTTAATGGTATCATATGTGTGTTTTTCTGTTGTCTTTTAAAGACATACCAACATTTCCCTGACCAGTGGGGCTCAGTTGGTTGGGCGTTGTCCCACAAAGCGAAAGGTTGCTGATTCGATTCTTGGTCAGGGCACATGCCTGGGTTGTGGGTTCGGTCCCTGCTCAGGGCACCTGCGACAGGCAACTGATCGACATTGACGTCTCTCACATGGATGTTTCTCCCTCTCTTTCTCTCTCCTTTCCCCTCTCAGGGAAAAAAAAAAACATACTGACATATTTACAGGTAAAATTATATATGTTTAAAATTTGCTTTGAACTGTTCCACAACATAAAAGAAGAAGCAAATACAAAACATTAGGTGTATAGATGAAACAAAGTTGCAAATTTTAACATAATTTCTTTGACCCGGGTATGTGTGGCTGCTATGGACTGAACTGTAACCCCTACCCCACCCCCCACCGCCATTCAGATGCCGAAGCTCTAACCACCAGTGCGACTGTACTTGGAGATGGGGCCCATAAGGAGGTCATTAAGGTGAGATGAGGTCACGAGGATGGGGCCCTGATCCAACAGAATTAGTGTTCTTGTAAGACATGATTTCAGAGACCTCTCACTCCCTCTCCACATACTCGGGGGCGGGGAGAAAGGACACGCTAGTACCAGGCGGCTGTGTGCCAGCTGGGAAGAGAGCTTCACCGGGGAACCAGCCCCACCGGCACGCTGATCTGGACTTCCAGATTCCGGACCGTGAGAAACAAAGGCCTGTTGTTTAAGTTGCCCGGTCTGTAGGATTTTGTGGTGGCGGCCAAGCTGACTTCTTAGCACCAAGAGGTGGGGTGCTACTATGGCAAGTGCCAAAAGCCTGGAAATGGCTCTAGAACCGGGCACATGGGTGGAGGCTGGAAGAGCTTTGAGGCACACGCGAGAAAAAGCCTGGATTGCTCCGAGGGGACTGTTGGTGGAAACGCAGATGTGAACAGCCATTCTGATGCGGTCGCAGACAGAAACGAGGACCGTATCGTTGGAAACTAGGGAGAGCTATATCCGTTAGAAAGGCGTCTGGCATCAGCTAATAGAAAATGTGACTAAGAATGACATACATGTGTAGTTTTGTTTGTCTTTTTAATTTTTTTATCCTCACCTAAAGAAATGCTTATTGATTTTGGAGGAAGGGAGGGAGGGAGAGAGGGAGAGAAACATCAATAGGTTTCTCTTGTACACGCTGCAACCAAGACTGAACTCACAACCTAGGCATGTGCCCTGGCCGGGAATCGAACCCGCACCTTTCAGTGTATGGGATGACGCTTCAACCAACTGAGCTGCGCCAGCCAGGGCTTGTTGTTTGTCTTGTTAAATCTCACACAAGTTGAGAGAGGTCGTTTAGCTCTGGGGAAGCTGCTTGAGGACCCCTGAAAGGATCCAGGAAACTTCTATGGTCTGTCTTGAACTGGAAGGACATAGCAACTTAAAATTACTTACCTTTGAGGAGGAGGGAGGGGCAGAGGCTGGGGAGCTTTAATTTCTTTTTTAAGTGGAAGAGATTTAAATGGATACCTGTCCAGACAGTCAGAATGGAAACTTTCCCCAGCGTGAGTAGTTTTCCTTTTTCTCCAGCGGGAAAGAACTCAGAGCAGGACCATCCACGACAGGAATGAGGAAGAGGGGAGAGGGTGCGGGGACCAGAGGGTGCGGGGACCAGTGGCCGGAAGCTCAAAGGCAGCTCCAGACCCGGTCAGGCTGCCCTGATGCTGAAGCTTTCTCCTCCTAAAACGTGCAAGCCAGCACTTGTGCCGCGTGGAAAGGCCGGAGCATGGGCTGGTCCTCAACTCTTCGGGACACAGGGACGGGACCAGAAACCAAACAGGGAGAGGTGAACAAGGTTGCAGGAGACTAGGGAAGAGAAGACACAGATACTATACCCAAAAGAA